ACGTAATGCCAGGTCTGTGGATCCGTGAGCTCCTGTATTTCTGCGAGTCTTGTGCCTACAAATACTTTGTACCTGCAGGAGTCTGACTGGAGCCAGGTTAAGACTGTTGTAGAATCCGACCAGTATGTGATGTCATGGATCTCCAGGGTGAGTTCTCTTCTGAGGGCCACGGCCAGCTGGGCACCGATGAGTGCAGCGCAGAGCTCGTGTCTTGGCATCGACTGTTGCTGTTTTGGAGCCACTCTTGATCTTGCTGCAAGGAATGCCACCTAGACTCGCCTATTGGCATCTTCAGTGCGGAGGTACGCGACAGCACCGTACGCACGCTCTGAGACATCACTGAAGACATGGACACTTCTTGTACTGGCTGGGAGGTCCATGTTGATGCTGACGTGACACCTTGGCAGTGTGACCTGAGACAGCTGTGGAAGTTTGTTCTCCCTAGTAAGCCATGCTTGGAGAAGATCTTCAGGTACATCTGGGTCATCCCAACCCCTTTTCTTGTCTCAGAGCCTCTGGACCCCGACCTTGGCCTGTGTTGTGTATGGTAAAGGTCTTCTGAAATTGACCTTGGGCTTTCCCAACTGGACCCGATATGCAGAAATACTGTGAGCAAGTGACACAGGGAGCAGGGAGGAGGGAGGAAGAGACGAGAGACAGAAACCAACCAAGCCAGCTCGCGCTATAGTAGACCAATAGCTGCCATAGCTAGGTTATTTATCATCAAATATGATTGTACCTGTCTTGACTGAATCAAACCGGGAGAAACTAGTTAAACTAGCTAACGTTAGCTAGTTAGGCTAATTGAGGCGGCAGTGAATGCGCTTTCTCAATCTACAGTTACAAATAACAACAACAGAATGTTAAGTAGCAGCCTACCTGTTGGCTCTTGGTCATTGTAGCCTATCCTTCTGTTACGCGGAGTGGAACAGGGGAACCCAAGAGCAGACTCAGACGAGGAGACTGGGATGAAGTAACCAAGGTATTTATTGAGACACAGGGGGGAGATGGAGTGCAGGTTTTATTTTTATTTTTTATTTCACCTTTATTTAACCAGGTAAGCCAGTTGAGAACAGGTTCTCATTTACAACTGCGACCTGGCCAAGATAAAGCAAAGTAGTGCAATAAAAACAACACAGAGTTACATATGGGGTAAAAAACATAAAGTCAAAAATACAACAGAAAATATATATACAGTGTGTGCAAATGTAGCAAGTTATGGAGGTAAGGCAATAAATAGGCTATAGTGCAGAATAATTACAATAGTATTAACACTGGAATGCTAGATGTGCAAGAGATTAGGAGAAACTGCTGGAAACCAGGTGCGGAGGCTGCGGCTGGAGCGAGGGAGGTTGAGACAGGGTGAGCAGGTCCGGAGGGGAATCCAAGGCAGTAGTAGAGTGGGGAATCCAGGACAGAGTAGCAGGATGACGAGACGTGGAACTGGAGACAGGGACCAGAGTCAGAGCGGGCAGAACTGTAGCGGAGAGGAAAACAGCGTCAGTCAAGGAAAACAGGCTAACAGGATCTGAATAGTAACAAACGGCTAGAACCGTAGACTGACTGAGCAGAGATTACGATCTGGCAGTGTGGAAGTGGCAGGACTGAGTATTTGTAGAGGTCTTGATTATGGAACAGGTTGCAGCTGGTGGGGATCTGCTCTGACTCCAGCACACCTGTCTCCGCCCACACAATCACACACACACACACAGAGAGAGAGAGAGAGGGAGAGAGTACTGGGGGAGTGGCGGCAGGTCAAGGAGACACAGGATGCGTTGCAGGAGCAGATGTGACACCTTCTCCTTTAACTTTACATTCCGTCATTTTAATTTAATCTTCCATTGATAAGCCTAGATATCTCCTAACTTTTGCCTCACACAGAGGCTCTATGACTGTAGCCTATTGCCGCTTTGATGACTTATGATTGGCCAGCAACAACAACAAGCTACACACGCCACGCTACACTCTCGAGAAAAGCAAGAGCAGCAGAATTAATAATAACATTTCTCTCTCTCTCTCTCTCTCTCTCTCTCTCTCTCTCTCTCTCTCTCTCTCTCTCTCTCTCTCTCTCTCTCTCTCTCTCTCTCTCTTTCTACTGCAGCTGTCGCGTTTGGATCTGTACGGGCCCTTCCAGACAAGTCAGTTAAAATTATACATACCCTAGACCCGTGACAATCATATCAGATCTGACCCAAGTGCTCTCTGCTGGCGCCTTTGTGCTGGCAGTCTTTGTAGCATTCGTGTTAGCGTTCTTGGTAGCGGAAGTGCTAGCGTTGACCTCATGGAGAATTTCAAGATGTTTCTTCTTGCACTTAGACTTGAGAGTACACTGAGCTGCTTGATGTTCGCGGCCATACTCCCAACATCTCTGATTTGTCTTGATCCAGGATTCTTTCTGTTCTTTGGAAAGGAGCTGGAAGCTGGTGCGCTGATTCATATAGTGCTGTATGGTGTTGCAGAACAGGCAGTACTTCTTTGGCTTCTCCCATGACCTTTCCTCCGGAGACTGGTTCTGTGCAGGCTTCGGCTTTGTCCTTTCTCTGCTCACCTCCGTGGAGGATGCAGGTGGTCTTGGGGAAAGACTTGTCTTTACGCTGATCTCTGCGTGAGCCAGGGTGGTCCCTGACTTGGTCGCCGCTGAATTGCGTGCCATCTTCTTGCACTCTCACCTCGTACTCGAGCCACTCTGCCAGGTGAAATGTGCCGGGTTGGAATGTGTGTCTTGATTGGGTTCACACATCTCTTGAAGCTGGCTCTTAGGTCATGTGGCAACTTAGCTAAGAGACGGGTTACGTGTGAGCCACACTTAAGTTCTGTTCGTTCATTATTCCCTAACTGATCCAACACGCCAACCAAGGCAAGCACCCTCAGAGCGTTAACACCCACCGTCCATTAATCCTGCGATACGTTGGAGGGCAAGCTGGTGGGGCTGGCCATACAGTTCTGTGAGGGACTCCAAGGTGTTGTTGTATGGGTACGTGCTGTTGTTGTAGGAGTCTGCAATTAGCAAAGCCTCTTCCAACTTTAGGTGGTCAACCAGTATCTGAAACTTGAAGGGCTCTGTTGCATCTACAGGCAGCACATTGTCGAAGGCAAACTCCTGTGGGTCTTCTTTGACGAAGTTGGGGATGTTAGGAGTTGGTCCCGGTAGGTGCGCTCCCAGTTGGGCGGAGAAGGTATGTTGTAACGGACAGGTGCGTGCCGAACAATGGTCAGGTGAGTAGTCACGGTGGTGACGATCAGGTGAGGGCTGATGACAGCAATCAGGTGATGACTGGTCTGGGTTGGGGAGCTCTCTGATCCTGAGTTCTTCAATGAGCTGTTCAATCTTATCACAGTGCCTTTGTGACCACAGTGTGTCCTCTCTGGTTGTCACCAGCTATGCCCGCTCAAATCAAATCAAATCAAATGTTATTGGCCACATGCGCCAAATACAACAGGTGTAGACATTACAGTGAAATGCTTACTTACAGCCCTTAACCAACAGTGCATTTATTTTTTTATAAAAAAGTAAAATACAACAACAACAAAAAAGTGTTGAGAAAAAAAGAGCAGAAGTAAAATAAAATAACAGTAGGGAGGCTATATATACAGGGGGGTACCGGTGTAGAGTCAATGTGCGGGGGCACCAGCTAGTTGAGGTAGTTGAAGTAATATGTACATGTGGGTAGAGTTAAAGTTACTATGCATAAATAATTAACAGAGTAGCAGCAGCGTAAAAAGATGGGGTGGGGGGGGCAGTGCAAATAGTCCGGGTAGCCATGATTAGCTGTTCAGGAGTGTTATGGCTTGGGGGTAGAAGCTGTTGAGAAGTCTTTTGGACCTAGACTTGGCACTCCGGTACCTCTTGCCGTGCGGTAGCAGAGAGAACAGTCTATGACTAGGGTGGCTGGAGTCTTTGACAATTTTGGGGGCCTTCCTCTGACACCGCCTGGTATAGAGGTCCTTGATGGCAGGAAGCTTGGCCCCAGTTATGTACTGGGCCGTACGCACTACCCTCTGTAGTGCCTTGCGGTCGGAGGCCGAGCAGTTGCCATACCAGGCGGTGATGCAACCAGTCAGGATGCTCTCGATGGTGCAGCTGTAGAATCTTTTGAGGATCTGAGGACCCATGCCAAATCTTTTCAGTCTCCTGAGGGGGAATAGGCTTTGTCGTGCCCTCTTCACGACTGTCTTGGTTTGTTTGGACCATGATAGTTTGTTGGTGATGTGGACACCAAGGAACTTGAAGCTCTCAACCTGTTCCACTTCATGCTGACGTTGATCTTGATGACCTCTAGTCGGGGTGCACCTGCTGTGGGGTGCCGGTGAGTTGGCAACCGATGAGGATGAGGCTCCATCCTCAATGCTGCGGGGCAGCCTGGGTGGTGAATTGAACTGCTGGATACTCATTGAAGCGAATGAAGTTAGCTCTTCCTAATAGCTTCATTATCTCATGTCTCAACTTGTCACTTTCCTCTCCAATTAGCTTCAGGCACGTTGTGAGTGTTCTGGAAGAAGAGCGGGTGCTATTCTCATCTTTTGCAGGAGGTTAACTGCTGCTGGTCTGGTTGTGAGAGAAAGTAATTCCTCCCATAGCGACCTCTGCTCGTGGTCCCTCGTTGGAGTGATCTGTATGGTGTTCTCTGCCTTGACTCGTAGCTTACCTCATAGTCGACTAGACGATTTGGGGGGCGAGTCTGACGGCGGGGACGAACCATTACTTGTGGAAGATCTTCTCTGGCGACTGGCATCCTTGGGCTTTAGCAGTTATTGCGTCCGGCTCATAAAGACCATATTTTTCTATGATGAGAATGATAAACTAGGAACCAATATACTACACACATAATGAACTCCTATGAACCCAATTATAACAATTATTAAATGTATGTTCATGCTGCCTGCTGAGAGGTGAAACTCAAGACAGAAGCTCACTCTTTGGTGAACAAAAGAGACTATTCTATTGTATTACATTCTTTCAGTCACTAATTAAACCTTGGTATATGTTTACTGTCCTTTACATGGTATTCTCCCTCTTCAAGGATCTGATGCTGCGTCATGGGTGGCGTACGGGAGCCATAGTGCCTGAGCTGGATCTGGAGACCAAGGTGGTGAACACAGAGCAGTACGCCCAGAGCCTCACATGGCTTCAGGCCCTCACAGGCCTGCTGGAACGCATGCAGGTACACTCCTCTGGGGAATAGACATTGGCATGTTTTCCCTTCTCCCCACATTAACATACATACAAGATCTCTTTGAATTCATTATTTGATAAGGAGCTGTATCTGTACATCTTAAGTATGATTGTCAAGTTTTTCCCATACAGTAGCTGACTCTTGTCATGTCCTTTTGTAGATGCATCGGGATTCACAGTCTAGGGAGGTTCTGCAGGATTGGCTGAAGGAGAGAGAGGAGCTCAGGTTGGTCCCATGGAGTTAGTGGTACTGATTGAGTACCTTTTACTCTGGACAGTGATTAGGATATCACATCTGCAGAGCCTGAAAATAGCTCACTTTTATTTTTATTATCTCTTCCTCTCTTGTCCCTTTTTATTACAGACTAAGAACAAAGAACCTCTTCAACCCCCAGTTCGGCAGCATCTTCCGCACCTGTCACAACCCCACCTACTTCTCCCGCCGCCTGTGTCGCTTCTCAGACGTCTACATGGCCTCCATCAGCTGTCTGCTGAACTACGACCTCTCCTACACCTTCTACCCCCGACGCACCCCTCTGCAGCATGAGGCGCCCCTGTGGATGGACCAGCTCTGCACTGGCTGCATGAAGACCCCCTTCCTAGAGGAGATGGCCCACATCCGCTGAGACAACAATGGGTTCTCAGAGCTGGGTTCTCAACATGGACATTTAAAAAACAGCCCACTAGGGGGCACTGTAGATCAGTATTATTCAGAGAATAAGCTTAGGTTATTGCTCTTACTGTAAGTGAACACTGTGAGTAGTATCATGGCATATATAGGAGTTACTCTCTGGCAGACCTGATGTAAGTTAACTAATCATAGACATGAAGGAATATGTTTGCACTTTATAAACCTTAAACACCCTTCACTGTACATGTTATTAGTTATTAACTAATGGGTAACACCCATCCCTGTGAGACTGGCACACAATACAGCTGGTTGCATTTGATGACCGGCATGCAAAGACTGATGGAGCATGTGCCCATCATGGGCACTGTCTGTTCTATGGAGAAGACATAGCTAGTAATGTATGTTGTTCATTATGTGTGTTTAAAATACTGTAAAACCTGTTTTTGTACCTGTATGCATTCAATAGAATATATGACCAAATTGAAACATATTTGTCACTGATCTAACTTTTTTCATTTGTCATGATGTTGCATGTATTGCCTATGGATTGTTGACTGTCCATAAAAATTGAATTATGCATTGTAAGAACAGTTAGATAATGAAAACGAAATGTATAAATAAAGAAATGTGTATGAACCTTTGAGGTAGGCATCTATTCGAATGGGTTAGAGCTTTCCCCAAGTCTACCACTTCATCAGCTATCACATATGCTAGGTCTAGTCTACTTACTATCATGAAAGCACTTTGTCAGGAAATGTTTCCTAATGCATTTCTACATTTCATTTCACGGCTGTCATCTGCCAGGACTTCGAGAAAAATAAACGGTTCGACTGCCAAGAGCTGGCATATGTTCTTGAAGCTCTTAGTATAATATAAGATGACGGCAGAGGCTATTTTGTACTTTTTTCTTCAAAATGATCTCATTGGCTGTTGATTGCACGTCGCTAGGCAGCACCTCATCACCAGCGTAAGGGTACCAGTGCCACTTCAGCTGCGCACGAGACAGACCAAGCAAGCTCGCAAACTCCAGGCTGCCACTCCTGTCAAAGAAAGAGGTAAGCACCAAAACACGCATGTTTCATACTTATTTAAAGCTTTATTGCGTATTGAATCTGGTTTAGGATACATGCTCGTTTGAGAGTGTTTTTGTATTTAAGACGTGCATGGAGTGAGAATTTGAAAGTGAACATGTTTGAACATTGAAATAGTTTTGTTATTTGCGACATTTCTTTTTCAGTTGTTTTCACTTGTTTCTATAGAACGCTAGAACATTTCCAGAGAACCCATGGAGCCAAGTTGTATTCGCGTAGCCACTAACTATCATGCTATTTCTAATACCCAGGGTAGGTATTGTAGCAAAGGTGAATGGGAGTCGCAGTTCTTTGAATATGTTCTGCCACAGAGGAGAAAGCTAGGAGAAAGATACATGTTATACCTGAATTTAAAGGTACTACATGTAACAATTAAACTCTATTGTTGTCAAATTGACAAGGGCCAGCAAATATTTTGTTGCCAAATTTACTGGTCCGTTGTTGAGTTGACAACAAGAGATTTGTTGGCCCCAGGCAATCTGACAACAAGAGCAGGTCTGTTGAGCAATAAGAAGGCTGCACCATTAGAATGCAATTTGGTGTGGGCCAAAATATTTTTTGGGGTAAAATATTGTGAAACACTATCATTCCACTATTACTGTAGATGCATTAATGACATTTTCTGAAATTACAATGCAAAAATGTTGCATATAGCATTAGTGTCCGAGGAATGTAAACAACAACTTGATGAAAACACATACATCAGGGTGTGGTTTAGGAGGTTGCCTGCTGCCTGCCAGTAAACCAATATAAGGAGCTGTCACTTAGAGACAAAACAGAACTCTCAATAGCAGAAGCATTTTCTTCCCTAATTGAATTCCCCAAGACTCTTTCTGTAGTTTCCCAGCTGGTGTATATGTCAGAATGTGTTGTTCACATTAGCCTTTTAATTGTGTCCCATGTCGGTTAAATTGTTTTTGACTGTAGCAGCATGTTATGCATAGGTCATCTCCTCTGTCATGTATGATGTATTGATTGATATTCTCCTTGTCTCAGCTGTTCTAAGGGAATTGACCCGGTCATAGAGCTGACAGGGCCTGTACATCATGGAACTAAACCGGCCTATAGCCCATTCGTCATATTCACCTCCTATAGCATAGGCGATTCTAGGATTTGAAGACATTTTGGGCTTAGCCCAAAGCCAGTAGGGGGGACCGGGGGCATCCTCCCCCGGCAAAAAAATAAGAATTTCAACTGCTAAATGCATGAATTTGGTGCACTTTGAAATTAACATTGAGAGATTAGATATTTTTCAGGTAACTTGCACCTGCCACAGCAGATACTGCCAGTGCTCAATTACAGTAGCTACTGTGGGTCTGTCTACTCTGGAACACTCTCTACTCGGGAACACATACATCTACAGTGTATTGCCAAAAACCTCCATACCACTCAACAACTTCAAACATAGACTGACCTGTCCAATGAGCCAAACTGTTTAAAGAATTCCACAGTACCCAAACACCCTCTCTCTCAGGCTTCAGGTAGCCTGGCAGGTAGTAGCGTTGGGCCATTAGCCGAAAGGTTGCTGGATCAAATCCCCGAGCTGACAAGGTAAAAATCTGTCGTTCTGCCTCTGAGCAAGGCAGTTAACCCACTGTTCCCCGTGGGCTGATGATGTCGATTAGAGGGGTTGGGTTAAATGACGAGGACACATTTCAGTTGAATGCATTCAGTTGTACAACTGACTAGATAACCCCCTTTCAAGCGCACACACACAATGTGCAGTAATTATAATCCATAGAGCAGCTTTAAGTGACACAGTCTACTGTGTGATCACTCATACTCTGCCTCGCTCCATCACTTTCTCTATGTTGTCTGTTGCTGTCCCTCCTGTCTACCTTCTTCTGTTGCTGTCTCTTGTCTACCCTCTTCTCTCGTCTTGCCCTGTTTGTAAAAAGTGTAAAAGTAAACAATTGTTTTAAAAGTAATTCTAAAGGCTTTTTCACCTCAACTGTAAATTATTTGTAAACCATGTTTTACTTTTTCACTGTCTGTATTTCACCTGTTATAATTTGTGCAAATAAATCAAACTAAATAGAATCTATAGAGCAGCTTGAAGTGAAACAGTCTACCGTGTGCTCAACCCACCTCTGTTCTCTCTCCATCTCTTCTGCCACTTTCTCTGTGTCTTGTCTGTTGCTGTCTCAGGTTCTTGTTTGTTACTATCTCTTTTGTCTATTCTCTTCTGTTATGGCCTGTTCTGTTCTTCTCGTGTCTCTCTCCACCATATCCTATTCTTCTGTTGCTGTCTCTGTGTCTTGTCTGGTGTGTCTCTCTCCATCACCTATTCTTCTGTTCCGGTCTCTGTTTCTTGTCTGGTCTTATCTGGTGTGTCTCTCCATCATATCCTACTCTTCTGTTGCTATCTCTGTGTCTTGTCTGGTGTCTCTCCATCATCTACTCTTCTGTTGCTGTCTCTGTGTGTTGTCTGGTGTGCCTCTTTAGTTTTTCAGTCCAAAACAGTCAAGAGGATACTGGGTAGCTTAACTTGTTTTGGGCCTGTGTCTGGGTCACCTAAATCATCCTCATCCCTAGCAGTTGCCCCTGGCTGCTGCTGTTCTAAGTGCTCCACTGTCCTGCTGTTCTCATCTGTCCTCCTCCTTGGCTCTTCTTCAAGGTAGCAAGGTAGAGGTACAACATGTCATTAGTTAGTTTTAAAGGGCGACTGCACTTCCTGATTTGGCTTCGTTTTAGATTTGGTTCATTAAGAAATGCTAGCGCCCATAACTGAATTCAAACGTGAGTTGGATTCGGGGTGTGGTTTGATGTGGGTGTCTCGTGTGTGTGTTCGAACGTGGGAAGAGTTAGCCAAATTATTTTGCCAATTAGCTTCAGCCTGCTGGAGTGCAACCTGACTGACTTTAGCCTATCTCCGGGGCTATGTTAGGGACCGTCAATAACTTACACACTGTAAATGGGACAATATATTTTAGTTGTCTCATTAAATGTTTTCAATATTTTATATGAATTTCTACAATTTATAGTTGGTTTGAGGTTTTTAAGACATTAAAATTTTGAGCTATTGGAATTATTTACATATTGTCCCATGTACATTGTGTAATTTACCAACGGTCCCTTACTAGCCCCATAGGGCTATTCAAAGTCAACCCAAATTTACCATAGGGTCGCCTTTACGATAGGGTCGCCTGCAGCTGCACTCTGAATTGATGATTAGTTGTGTACTGCCAGCTGTGGGCATATGTAGAATAAATGTTTCTGACTCATATCGATACAACATGCTGTTTTCTAAATGAGAAGTAGGATTTTAGGGGCAATTGCTCTTTAAAGTTATTGTATACTGACACAACCAGGGCAACTCAACAGTATAGAACAATTCAAGTGTCTGCATAACAGAGCAACACAACTCCAAACATTACAGATAAGAAGCTACATAGCCCCTAGGCTAAATGAATATAGAGACATGAGCCAAAAAAAATTACCTATGATATACATGGCAATAAAATACTTACTTGCAGGTTAACTTCTCGACAATGCAACAACAATAGATTATTATTTTTATTAAGTTAATAAAAATACTAATAAAGGTAAAAGTTTTATGAAATATTTTCACCAATTTAATAATGGGCAGTTTGTTTTACAAATAGTTACATAGCCTATATGGAAATAACAGATATTAGCCAAGCATGTTTACCTGTAGAATGGAATAGGTTATAAGACCTCTATAATTAATTAAATTTAGTCAGTTCTACCACCTCAACATTGCCAATTTTAACCAGGGTTAATATCAAGTTGTAGTAAAGTTCAGCTTCAGTCCACAGGGAGGCACTGTGTCACTGTCAGAAGATATGTGCTTCAGTCAGAAAAACGTTCTCTCATCTCTTGGGACTCAGCTACCGAAGTGGCTAACCAGCCAAGCTAGCTACAGAAACGAATCCCATAAAAT